ATTTAGTGTTTACGTGTGTTGGTCATAATGCGATCCGTGCATTTAGTGTTTACGTGTATTGGTCACCTGGTCATAATGCGATCCGTGTTTTTAGTGTTTATGTGTATTGGTCATAATGCGATCCGTGCATTTAGTGTTTATGTATGTTGGTCACCTGGTCATAATGCGAAAGTGGTCGAATGACTGGCATTTGCAAATGACCAGTTTCCTTATTGTTCATTGCAGTGGCGTAAGTATCATCATAGCAGCTATAGCATTGCTATGGGGTCTGGGAGTAAGGTAAAAACTAATTATATACATACACTTCTCCCGTGCCCCCATGGCTCATCACACGTGATTTAGTGATTACAGTACGTACATGTTGCTTAAACCACAATTCTAAACTAACTGATTGGTCAAAAATTAAGTGTCGATAAAGAGCTGTAAATGGGGCCTAAATTCTTGTTTTGCTATAAGCTCGAGACATTCTATGTACGCTTCTGAACAGGTTTCCATGACCTGTTGTGTCTAACACAGGGCTTGGAAACATTTTACATGAAATAAAGAGTTTCTACAGGTCCTACCTGTTCAGTCTACCGCAGTTTTGATTTTTTTCCTGCTTTTTCTCGCAGGTTTCCATAACCTAATGAGGTTAAGGTATAAATAAACTTTCAGAACTCACGTTTTATCGTTTGCGCCATAAACTTAAGTGATCTTCTGAGTGGTAGGATATATTTTTCTAAATGTTATGTTAAAACAAACGATCAGAACATTAACAATACAGAACAAAGATGGGACTCCTAAATCGAGTCTTAACTTTCTTATATCAAAGACCAACTACCTTTCTTGAAAGTCGAAGTGAATTCTGCCTTGACCAATCGGAAGAAGGGGTAATAAAATTCCATCAACAGTCGCAAGGTATACTCCAAACAAAAACTTAATTATGTATGCTCTCAATAAAGACTGGGAAAAAGTAAGATAGATAATATGACATACGGGTAAAACAGAACAGAAAATAAATGTTTAATAGATTCCTCAATTACAATGACGTACAATAACTGATCTGTATTAACTTGACAAAGTAAAGATAAAACCGTAAGAAGACGCCATCTGTCGGGAAATAACGGAGGTGAGCACCCAATTTGTTGTTGAAATTATATTGGAGGTTGACTGGGTCCATACATATGAATTTGCGGTTTCACATTTTGTGTTTTGCAGTTTTAGGGGCGTTTTTTACAGTTACATATCAGGGAAGCAACTTTTCATGTCCTAAAATAATCT